CCTAAAATGATTCTTACTGTTTTCACTTTAATTTATAGGTTGCATTTTCACAATAATATCTTGGTTTCATTTTTTACATCACAAAAACCTGACATTTTAACAGGGTTGTGTAGACTTCTTGTATCCACTGTACATAACCAGAGGCTTTACTCAGTGGAAAAAAGTTTGCTAATATTCACTAAACATGATTTTGTTGTAGCATTCTTTAGTGTAATTTCAGCCATACAAATGATTAATACATTTAAAATGTGTTTAAATGAAACATTTTTACTTACTATACTTAATTGCACAAACAATAGTATTAAAGCTTGACTTCAATTGTGTTGAATGTACCTAACCATTCTAAAATGGAATTTTGCTAAGTATTTTATATGTATTTTAATCCATAATGCACATCCACTTACAGTTAAATATATTTCAGCCATAACATTAAAACCACTGCCAGATGAAGTGAATAACATTGATTATTTCATTACAGTGGCACCTGCATCTCCAAAATGGCAGGTCTTGTGGGGTGATCCCGGTATGCACTGGTTAGTACCTACCAAAAGGCTCATTGATGCGCGTGGGAAGCGAAGGCTAGCCTGTCTGGTCTGATCCCACAGAAGAGCTACTGTAGCACAAATTGCTGAAAAAGTCAGTGCTGGGCCCAGTGCCAGCCCATATGGCACCAACAACCATGCCACTATTGACCTGTATCTGCATGATTTTTTGCATTGCGCTGCTGCCACATGATTGGTTGATTAGATAACTGCATGAATGTGCAAGTGTTCAGATGATCGTAATAAAGTGGATGATGAGCGTAGATATAGGTGTGTGTGCCTGTGTGTGTTTTATGCGCGAGCTCCGTCAGCTCTGTCATTCTCTCTCAAGTTCACGGCATTCTCCTCAAAAGGACACATAAAGCACACATAAGTAAACTCGCCGTGATCACACAGTTGAGAATCATCACGCTTTACCTGCCGGTTCAACCTGCCTCCTCTCCGTCCGCAGCTGACGCTCGACCATTTTGGAAAGAACATACGGATGCGCACCAAGTAGCAGTAAGACTACTTTTTTATTACTGAATAGCCCACACCCTCACTTTCTTGTATTCTACTGGCCCACAACAAGGAGGCTCATAAAATCACATGTCAAAGTTCACTTACAGTGCCTCCATTAATTATTCAGCCCTAATGATAATTTCTCTTTTTCCTGTATTGCAATCAAATATCAGCATATTTTAGGGTTTCCCCCGGTCCTTTTAAAGTGACTCTCAACAGAAATAAAATAAAATTAAGTATTTAGATGTCCTCATAATTATTAGATTAAAAAACTGCTTAATTGATAAATATTCACCCCTCAGTGTGAACTGTCCTTTTGCAGCAATTACAGATTTGAGTTGTATCAGATTTTTGACCTTTGATTTTGGAATTTTCTTCCATTCCTCAATTCCAAATTGGATGGATATGTTGGTGGACAGCAATTTTCAGATCATGCTATATATTTTCAACTGGCTTTAAGCCTGGGCTTTGACTCAGTCATTCCAAAACACAAATGTTCTTTTTTTAAAAACAATCCTTTGTAGTTTTTGCCCTATGCTTTGTCAATGTTTTAATAACCTTCTCCATCTTTTTTCCTTCACAGACAGTTCCTTGATCTTCATGACAGCAGATCTGTCATTTTAGCGGTGAGACCTCCCAAAGTCAGAGATATTTATTGTTCAAGCATACAATTGGATTTAAAATTAACAAGGTTGTAGCCTGTTTAACATATTTGCCTGGCAAGATGGCTGCTGAGGTACTTTGGTGCATCTTGAGTGTGTATATCCATACTATTTATGACAGAAAAACTCATCACTAGCTCACTAGCATCCAATCTGCAACCAAAATTACAATGATTCATCTTATCCCAGCATACAGACATAGGCTGAAACTACAGAAGCCGGTGAAAACTTCAAATAACACTTTGCTTCAAATAACATACAAGACTACACAGACACTATTACCTCATACATTAGTTTCTGTGAGGAAGTGTGCATTTCCACAAAAACAGTGGTGAGGTATAACAGTGACAAGCCCTGGTTCATTTCAGAACTGAGAAAGCTTCACTCTGACAAGGAGCAAGCCTACCAGTCTGGCAACTGTGAGGCATACAGGGAAGCCAAATATGCCCTACAAAAGGGAATTAAAGCTGCAAAGAAGGCATTTTCATACAGTCTGAAGGATCACTTCTCTGCTAAGGACTGCTCCTCAGTGTAGAAAGGTCTTCAAAATCTACAAAAAGAAGCCACCCAGCTGTGAAGCCAAGGTTTGAAAGACAAGGGCCCCCCAACAATTATGATGGCATCATACCCCACACCCTTTCACACCTCTCGCTCTGCTCCCTCCCAACACATCTAATGCTGTGTTTGAAGCAAAGTTGCAACTTGTAATTCCCTGCCTACAACAGGTAAAAACTACCAAAAACCCCCCCTCAACCTGAAATTTCAACTTGTCAACTTGGGGTAGTCTTCTCAAATACCAGTTCCTTCCCTGTTTATGGAGTGACATCAAATGTACATGGCTGCACACACTGTGAACAGTGTAAAGTACCATTTATCTACTTTTAAATTAGCTTGTAGCAGTATTGGCTTTAGATCCATTAATATAGAGATACAGTACTTGGTTAAACCTATAACACTGACCATACTAATGGCTGTTTTGAGTAGGTAATGATCAACATTAGATTTATAATGTTAGTTAGTTGTTGCTAATACTACTCGCTATTGTCCGCTGGCTAGCTTGTTGTGAAGGTACTTGCTAATGTCAGCTGTTGTTGTTGTACTGCAATTTCAGTCCAAAATCTTACATGAATAGTTGAAGTTCATTATAGTAGAACAGTGCCAGTAGCCACTCAGCCCTGTAACTGTAAAAGTGCAGTTAAAGTAGCTTTTTATGAGCACAAAAGACATGCTTACGTGGAGGCATCCATGCTTTTTTCCACTTTGTACATCGATTGTGCTGATGTGGGAAATTACATTATTACTTTCACATTATTGTCACATTGCTGGTGACCATCTATTATACTCATCAAGTTCACAGACGACACCACATCATTTCCAACAATGATGAGTCCACTTATCGACAAGAGGCAGCATGCCTAAAACCTGCTGCAGCCAAAACAACCTGGACCTCAACACACAGAAAACACAGGAGATGGTCATTGACTTTAGGTGGAAAATGCCACCACACTTCAAACTGGACATGAATGTCTCAGTTTTCAGCACAGCACGGTCATTCAAATTTCTGGGCACTTTTCTGTCACAGGACCTCAACAACATCAACAACAACATCAAATTCTATTACAAAGAAAGCCCAGCAGCAACTCTACATTCTGTGACAGATATAGAAGCACAAACTCATACAAAAAAATTGATACAGTGTTATACAGTCATCATCAAGTCAGTCCTAACATCATCTGTAACAGTCTGGTTCAGTGCAGCTTCTGGTCAGGTCAAGTCTAAGCTGCAGGGGGCTATCAGAATAGTTGAGAAGACCATTTGCTCTAGCCTACCATCGTTACAGGACTTTTACCTAGCCTGTGTAAGGAAAGATACAAAAAAGATCTCAACTGACCCTACTATACTTTCTGCAGGCACCATAGATAAAGTCAAAACAAAGTGAATGCAACTTCTTCCAGAAGCACATCACATCCCATGTCCTTTTCCTTTTAGTTGAAATGGCTTTTCTGCCAGGCAAATTTTATTACCATTTGGTTTAGGTCACACCTTTAGTTGAGAAAGCAGAAAAGTGTATCTAGTATCAGGTATCTAGCATATTGCCATAATAAGGGCATAAAAAATCATAAATGTCATGAATAAACCATAGATTTTGGCACCTCTGGTAATGTGAGCAGTGAAAAAACATGATTGGTTGTGACCTTCAATCTATTTCCAGATTACAATTGCTGTGGAACGCAGGTGATTTCATCACTTTCACTGCAATGATGTACACTTACCTTTAGCTTTGGCCCTTCAAAACGTGTCTGATTTGCACAGATGCACTAACATCTGTACTTTGTATGATGAACCAAAAAAGGTCTTAGTATTTCAACAGAATTTAAACTGTGTGTAGTTGTAAATGAGAACTTTTACTTGCCATTACAGATGGGCCCCCACTGGCATAAACCCCTTATAAATAAGTGAGATATGAGTAGTATAAACAAACTGTGGTTTTTTTTTCCAGCTAGGAGTGTCTAATTTGAGTCTGTCAAGATGTGGCAGTATTGTTGCACAATGCTTAGTTGCACACATTGACAGTTTGCAGCACGGAGTGCATAAATTAGTCAAACGTTTTCTCGAGGACATCAAATGACTCCAACTCAAAACACAAAAAAGTGTTTCTGCACTGAGATCTGGGCTTGGTGCTAAGCATTTTGTGAAACTTCTCAGTTGAATCAAAAGAAGATGTCGATATAAATTGGCTTTCACTTAAGATATTTAAGTCAGCCACGCAAATAGTGTATTGGATACCAGATTTCAAAAATATCGTTCTACTGAATGATGCTTCACTACAGCCCATGTATTCTGTGGTGAGTTTGAGTGATTCTAAACTTAATCCAGATCAGTATTACAATTTTGATTAGTTCATATCCTCAGTAGTGAACATTATCAGCAATTGAGTAATTCTCATCATCAGTAAAGAACAGTGCCATCAGTTAAGTGGCCCTGGTAGTCCTTCACTTAGTTGTAGAATTATACTGTAGTTACATATGTAATTTTTTTTATCTTAATTTACTGCATTTAGGTTGTCAGTCCTACTTTATTATGAATCTATTTATTAGTCTAAAGCCTGATTTAAGTTGTGAGTCAAAGTCTCAAGTCACACTTGAGTCACAATTTGCCAGTTCCTAACTACTAGCCAGTCGTGGAGGAACGCTTTTCTGTTCTGGCACTTGGGAGCCTGTTACTGTTTTTTTTTAATTTTCATAGATTTATTATTATGTTTCATTACTGACTACATATATATATATGTCATGGGTCCCTGAAGGACTAGTGGTTAGGCCACGGCACTCTCACCGCCGTGGCCCAGGTTCAATTCCTGGCCAGGCAACCAACCTCAGCCACTGGGGTTGCACAAGACATTGCAGTCCTAGTGCTGGTTCCAAGCCTGGATAAAATTGGGGAGTGTTGCCTCAGGAAGGGCATCTGGCATTAAAAAAAAAAAAAAAAAAAAAAAAACTGTGCCAAATCAAATATGAGGACCGATGATCCA